CTCTGTTTAAGGTGTACGATGATTCTAGAATATAAAGAGTTTGAAATTTTTCAACTGCCCACTACATGATGATAGCTCATGAAAGAAGTTTCGTATTATCAAGTTTGTTTACTAGACTCTTTCCTATAACAGAAACACACCATCCAGTCACTAACTCAAGTAGAGCAATAACAATGAAATAATCCCCCGCAGGCAATTTTTTCGTAAACCTATAGAGCTGCTTTACTAGAGTATATTCTGCTGCAATATTCTCAATGTGTGTGTTTTTATTGCGCGGAACATTTGAGGTGCCTGAATATTCGTTCATCCATAAATCTGATGTGATGCATTCGCGCTCACAGAAATATGCCCTGTACAGGAGATAAGAAGGATAGGACTGCTCAAAACCACGTTAGTATCAACGATCAAGATGAAAAACATATTTCTATAGGCCGGTAAGTTGGGCCAGTTAGGAATCATCGTGAACTTAATTACAGTGCAACACCAGAAACACAGGACAGGTAAGGAGCAAAAGAGAAAAAAAAGACAGTGCTAAAGCACAATTGTTCCGAAAGAACAGTCGTGAGTCAGCACCCTCTTTTCTGTTTCTTTTGCTCCTTTCCTGTCCTGTTTTGCGTTACGCTGTAAACATGTTCACAAGGTCTAAAATATGATGAATAGCAGAAACATTCAAGAATGGACGTCTGCGTCGCGGAGTAAGCAAATGCGCTTCGTCAGCACTGCGTCCCTGCATCTGATGAGGAGAACAACTGGACGAAACTCGCAGAGCATCAGTGAAGTGCGCCTACAAGTAGTGCAACGGTCACCATCAGATCTGCGAAACTCCCTAAGAATATTATACACATGAAGAGGTAACCTATACGTTCGTGTCAAGTATTGAGGTCATCGATGCCTTGTTAAATAAACAAAGCATTCGCAACGTTATGAATGGAAGTCGCTAGATTCGCCTGTTACGCACCTATTGAAGTTTCACAGTAGCGAAGCAGCCGTACTTTTGTTTTATTGCCCTTTCTGCATGCTGCGGTGTTAGGTTAGAACAAAATGTTAGAGACTTGAGCTTCACCTCAGGAGTAGAACGCGATAGCGTAATCACATCCTGCGAGCATCAAGCTGCACCTTTCACTGGGCACTTCAAACGTTCTTCAAGAAAATTAACGTCTGTGAGCGCCACTATACCACCTTCTAACTATCCGACCAGGCCTACAGCAAGTGCAGTTGCAAAACGTGCACTATTCCTCACTTCTCTGTGAATGAGTGGTATCCGCGTCTGTTAGCCTGCAAGCGAATATACGCAGCTGCACACTAGGTTAATTTGATAGCTAATGATCATAGTTAAATATGCGGGAGTACTTTGTAATGGGTGAGCCTCAAACCCCCTCGCTGGTTGTGCTATGCAGATGTCTTGACTTCTGGTGCAATTTCATGATTCTGCCTCACAATGCGTTCCAATAAGACTGCTTTCCCTACACAGTACTAATTATAGTGTTTCTTTTTTACAAAGCACTTCTCAGCACTACCATAGGACCATACGGAAATCAGAATACGCCCATAACGCTACCATTCACAGGGTCCCCGGGCATCGCGGAATCTCCAGAAAGAAAACGACTCATTAATTAGCGCATGCTCATCTCTTCACTGCGCTAGCCAAAGCTTTCGATGGCTCTTTTGGCTATTCCACCCGAGCTAGCAGGTCTATAGCAGACAAGAGTATTACCAAACAACGTCAGACCGCTTACCTCACAGCAGTAGGTAATCTATTTTCAAGACCATCGCTTCCTTTGAAGCCATTCACATGGCAAGAGTCGGTGCTGCTTCGGAGCATTCAGGGAGGATTCACAGGAACACTCCTTACTCCTTTTTCTGCTAAACCTGTTTTCAAAAGGGTGACACACCACCGCCCGTACCAGGCCTGTGGCTCATGTGCAACTGTCTGGACAATCTCAACCACTTAGGGTAGGAGTGTCTAGTGCACAACCTACCTAGGTTTCATGCCCTGGCAACCATGAAACAGGGGGGGGGGGGGGGAGGACCCTGGCCGTCTTTTTTCGGGCAGCGCCTGTTCGGAGCCTTCACCATAGAGTTCGCACTCATCTTGTTCCTCCAGGACCTGGCTGCGCCACTGGTCTGCGACTGGCTCCGCGACATCCACAACATCCAAGCCATTCGAGTGGCCCTCACTTAGCGCCCTCCACAAAGTCCATTAATAAAACGGATGGAGCTCTACGCCCTTCCTCTGGTTGCGTAGTGCCCTGTATGCATAGTGCCCACCGCTGCGTCCTGGGCGCTAAAAAAGTGTAACGAACGTCGATTCATTCATTCATACGGAAAAACAGTTTGTCACTACACCAGCACTGGCTTTGGTTCTCACTATGATCTAATTTTTATTATGTATTTATTCGCATCTATTTCATATTCTCGCTTATGGAAAACGCCCATTTTCGCTCAAAACCAACGACGCCTCCACCAAGCTATGTATGCCAGCAAAGAGATGTGTTCAAATGAGCATGACACGACGCGCGAAAATATAAAGTGCAAGTTTGTTCCTGAAGTGCGTCAGGTACACGTCGTGCACGTCAAGAAGTGTCAATATAAAGCAATACCGTTTTTAACCGGAATGTCATAATAAACAAATAAATAGCTTGCATGTTTTAAAGTAATTAGCATCATAAACATACCACTGCGGAAATAACAAACTCCATCACACTAGCTTTCGTTGTTTCAACCGAGGTGCATTTGAATGCGTAATATTCTAGTTTTGTGGATGTCACGTAAACTTTGTAGATACAAATCCTGGTGAGAATTATTGCATGGTACACAATTAGACGTGTATTTGTATTACGAGGAAAGAAGTCTGATGTATGCCATGCAATCAACTTTCTGATACACCTGCGGGAAAAACCATGTATGACATGCGTATCTTGACATTGAGGCCGCAATGAATGCTGAAAATTGCATCACATTCGAAATTATAACTCTCTGTTTTCATCAGTTTTTAAATATTGCCTAGATGTTTCAACCGGGATTTAGACTGCGTTACGGTGGTCTTCGTTAAACGGTATCTAATGTAGGTTTGTAAATTGTAAATACAGTCTCAAGCGTCATTTAGTATAGCAAAGGTGAATCTCTTATACAAAAACAAACATTATTCTTGGTAGCATACCGGCTTAACAACCATATGCCACCTCACTTATCTAGTCCATGTTTTAAATGCGCAACTGGTTACCGAAGAAAACAGATCGAATAATATGAGATCAAACTAATATGTTCATCATGTTCGCCGCATGAACTAACGACAAAATTAGAGATTTACCTGGATGAATCGACTACTGTGCCGTTTAAGAATTGTAGCTATGCATCCTGAGAAAAGTAGTTACGTGTTCACAAATGTTGAAATTTTTACTTGTTTTATATATTATCAACATTGATTGATATGTGCGGTTTAACGTCCCGAAACCGCCCTATGATTATGAGAGACACCGTAGTGAAGGGCTCTGGAAATTTCGACCACCGGGGTTGTGTAACGTGCACCCAAATCTGAGCACACAGGCCTACAGCATTTCCGCCTCTATTGAAAATGCAGCCGCCGCAGCCGGGATTCGAACCCGCGAGCTGCAGCTAAGCAGCCACGTACCTTAGGCACTATACCACCGTGACAGGGCATATGCTATCAACAATTATTCCTTCCATTTTCTCACATAAAAAACCCGCAAATAAGGTTTATCAGGATTCTGTCTGCTTTTCTCTGAGTATGCGAAAAAAAATCAAAATAGTTTTTTTTCTCAAATACTCAAGGGCGTCTATACGGGAATTACACATAAAACGTACTGGTTAATATTACCTATTACTATCAAGTCTAACAAAAAAACGAGCCCCGAAATTTCCACTTCCTTCGTAAATAAAACAGACTGCTTTGTTGAATGCTACTGTGAAAACCGTTAAAACATTATTGAAGTGATATGTTGCACATGTTAAAATGATTCTGTGAGATTGTCTGGGAAGCAACACGTTTTTTTTAATGCAAATGGGGAATAACTTATGATCTTCGTCAACCCATATATTATCATAGACGTAGGATCTTGAGAGCTTTGAGGACACGCTTGCCATATTAAGTTCTCCCTCGGCAGCATTACGTGAAGTCGCAAAAAAGAGAGAGATAAAAACGCACGTTTGTTCTGCCACAACTTACGCGACATCCGGTTATTCAGTGCTTCTAAGCTTGTCCCACCTTTTCATCCGCAGGTCTCTTCACGGTATTGAAAGTACGACTAGAACTGAATGTTTAATTGAGCGATGCTTGATCGCACGCTTGCCGACCTGAATAGTCTGGCACACGCATGCGAATGTATCTAGAAAAAAAAGGGGGGGGGACTTCAGTTGGAAGGCAAATACTAGAAAAAATATCAAAATTAGCATTTTTAAACCTACAACGCAAGCCGCTTTATCACTGGCACTGACTACTAACGAATGGCAAGAACCGCTGCATACTCCTCGCCACTCCTGAAGGCCGGTTTCTGCCTTCCACGTGCCAACAAATTGGTATAAAAGCTTACACGCCATGGCGAAAATCAGAAGCTTCTGCTCCTCCAACGCATAAAGACCACCGTCATGGTAAGTCTGCACTGAGATGCACTATACTTAACGAAAACTTCGACCCAGAAGGAAAGAAGCACTACCTAACGAAAAATACTCGTACTACTAAAATACTCAAATTTCAAAAATGTCCCTATTGTAGTCATCAAAACTGTTACGGCAGGCAGCAGTTTTTGCGAACCTTATTTTAAGCCAATTGTCTCCTTAGCAGACAGCTACAGCTCCCTATCCTCAATATACGCTTAAGATTTCGCTGCCTTGTATTCTCGATCAAGCAGCACAGGTGAGCGAAAATAAGAAGCGCGAACTCCTGAACAACCTTCGGTATTCGCGTGCTTTCCAGCTTCAGCGATCCCATATTGTCTTTCAATAAATGCACTTTTCCTAATTCATTTATGAAACATCAAAAGATGAATGCCCTTATCTTCCCTCTTAGCTGCGCTGCCTGCATCGTCCTTGCCTTGGCCACCAGCGCCTTCGCTGGTAACATCGGCCACCTCGCTGGCGGCTACACTCTCGCCAGCAACCTTGGCTACGGCCTTGGCTATGGCAACCTAGGCTACAGCGGCCTCGGCTACGGTGGTCTCGGCCTCTCCCACTATGGCTTGTCCCACGGTGTTGGCTACTCTGGCTTGACTGGCTACGGCGCTGGCTACGGATTCGGATATGCCGCTCCAGCCACCAGCTACGCTGTCGCTGCCCCAGCTGTCACCCGTACCGTCTCCACCTACCACGCTGCTCCAGCTGTGGCCACTGTCCACGCCGCCCCAGCTGTGACCTGCTGTTCACGCCGCCCCAGCCGTGACCTACGCTGCTGCCCCAGCCGTCACCAGGGTTGTTCAGTCCGCCCCAGCTGTGACCTACGCTGCTGCCCCAGCCGTCACCAGGGTTGTTCAGTCCGCCCCAGCTGTGACTTACGCCGCTGCCCCAGCCGTCACCAGGGTCGTTCAGTCCGCCCCAGCTGTGACCTACGCCGCTGCCCCAGCCGTCACCAGGGTTGTTCAGTCTGCCCCAGCTGTCACCTACGCTGCTGCCCCAGCCGTCACCAAGGTTGTTCAGGCCGCCCCAGCTGTCACCTACGCTGCTGCTCCAGCCGTCACTCGCGTTGCCACATACGCTGCTCCAACCGTGACCAAGGTTGTGCAGTCCGCTCCAGTCGTCGCTGCTGCCCCAGCTGTCGCCACCTACGCTGCTGCCCCAGCCGTCACCACTGTTCACCACGCTGCTCCAGCTATCGCTGCTGTTCATGCTGCCCCAGCTGTTGCTACTGTTGCCCACGCTGCTCCAGCTGTTGCCACCATTGCCCACGCTGCTCCCGCCGTGGCCACTTACAGTGTCGCCCACGCCGCCCCAGCAGTCGCTACCTACGGCCTCGCCCACGCCACTCCAGCTTACTACAGTTATGGTGTTGGCTCCCTCGGCTATGGCTCTGGCAGCTACGGTTACGGTCATGGCCTTCTCGGCTACGGCCTGAACTACGGCTATGGTCTTGGCTCTCCCCTGAGCTACTCCACCCTCCTCCGCAAGAAGAAGTGTAAGTTCGACTTTAATTTTAGCGGCATAGTTTTTGTTGCTTTGTGTACAAAAGATTAACGCCAACTTGTTTTCTCTATTTGCAGAAATTTCCCGCTTCATCGTAGGAGCAAGCAAGAAAGTTGTCTATTTGGAAGAACTGATTTTCGCCACAAAATAAACTGTTTCCTAAAGATTACCTTGTCCTATTGGTCTTCACTTTCAGAACAACTTCAATTTAGAGAAAAGTTGTTATGGACCAGATTTTCCATGTTTGACTGAAAAATGATTACCATCATCTTGAGTCTGTACACAATCTGTTTTTCCTCATAGCCTTCAAACTCTTCAGCTTGACTCGCAAAACGCATGTGCACATTTGTCTGGTGTATGCTGGAAATAACCGAAAGGACGAGTGACCAAGTACAAAGAGATAGAGAAAAATAGATTGGAATCTTTGTCGCGTAGAATTCGTCATGTGAGGTTTGAACCTGGGTTCCTATTATCTGAAGGCGAACTTTATTAACACTCGACTGTTTGTGGGCGCTGAAAGGGCGCCATAAATCCTATTAACCAGCTTACCACAACAAGGGTGTGAGAAAAAGATAGAAAAGTGAGGGTTGAAGTGAAGTGAAAAAGTGTACAGACAGAGAAATAAAAGGAGAGAAAAATAGATTAGAAGAAATGAAAGAAAGCCCGAAATAGACAGAAGGCGAGACATTCACTGTGGCATGACGAAGAGAAAGAGATTTCGAGAATAGAGCATGGTTTTTACGCAATCTGTCGCCTATGCTCCAGACGGCATACTTTCGCACACAGCCGACATATTATTTCGAACTGCCATGCCGTGTATCGAATGCGCCAAGTAGACATGGCAAGGTGCATGCAGATTTTTAAAAGCGAGATTGCGCATACTCATGCCACTCCCGCTTACAAGAAGTCGCATGCGCACCAGTGCCCTGTCCTTAGACGCGAAAACAATCAGCGCAAGAGGAAAATACTACTCAGCACTGTTTGTGAAGATTACAACACAACGGGGGAATGGCGCTGGTGTGGTTTATTCAGGTTTCATAGATTTTCATTCGCAAAGGAAAAAAATATGGCACATCTGATGTCCCTTACGAACCCAAGTTTTGCAAAGCATGCGCATGAAAGTTGATTGAGTTGTAATTTTTTACTGAGCAAATGTCTACGATGTTGCGCTAAAGATTTGTACAAATGCACGCACAGGCATGCTTTAAACAGCGGACTATGTTTATATCACCAGAAGTTGCGTAACAAAGCCTACATCAACATGAATATTGGCAACACCAAAGCGGTAAGCAATTTCAAAACGCTGCTGCTAGCAAGGATCGTAGTCCTGGGCACTGCTACACGAATTAACTTTAGCGGATGACAACGACTACAATCTATGTTACCCCGACATGACTACTGTATCGTAGGAGTACATATGTGGTGTTTATAAAATTAAGAAGCCAGCACTGCACCACAATTGGCGTTTTACGAACGTTAGGGTATACTAGGAAGACAGTTCCGAGACGTGTCGTGTTTTTGTGGTGGAATACTTGATTACCTGCAAGAACGATAGGGTGCGATTCCAGCTGGGGCAAAGAAATTTATTCGCATTCCTTCGGTGAAAGCTTCCAATGTCCGCATTTTTTTTTACGATGAGCATTAAATCACCTATGTGTGGTCACGCCATTCCTGGGCAGATATTAACTGTCACATACCTATGGCACTTACCCCACACTGTTGGCAGAAATCCGGCTCCGGGTATGCGCCACTGTTTTTTGGGAATTGTTTGATCAGTATGAAATGAAATTTTGGCATTATTCATGTCATGATCAGCGAGTGGTATACGTCAAAACACTCTACTCTCCCATACAAATTTTGGTTCCTTTCGTGATCATCCTAAGTACTTGGGGTGATCACGACAGGAACGAGGTGTAAGCGGACGGACGGATGTACGGGCAGACAGACAGCCACACAGACAAACACACAGACAGACAGACAGACACAGACAGACAGACAGACAGATAGATAGATAGATAGATAGATAGATAGATAGATAGATAGATAGATAGATAGATAGATAGATAGATAGATAGATAGATAGATAGATAGATAGATAGATATAGATAGATAGATAGATCGTTCTCGTGCATTTGCAGGCTCCATGCCAATAACAGGAAACACTACGACTCACGTGTGCATGCTTACAGTGCACAAGTTTACTGCAAATGTAACCGAGTACAGTTATGACACAAAAAATAAAAAAAATGTAAAGAGTGTAAAGTGTGGCTTTCAATCCAGTCGAACTGCGACATGCCTTGACTGTCGCTAGACAATTTAGTGCTTTCAGCTGCAGTCACCATAGCATTATAAAAAATTGCCCATGCGGGCATTTTTACACCAGTGGGTGTGTTCAAGTGCCTCAGACGCATCGCACATTACATGCGTATTGAGCATTTAAAGCAGCATTCTAGCGCTACAGTGACGCCAGCGGAAAGCGAAGTTTAACTGAGTGTCAGTTAAAGCAGGTTGCAGTTCGGCTGAGTCGAAATCCATGCTTTTTGTTGTTCGCATTTCTATCCCTCTCGATAGTGAGTACCAGATTATTTGCTTCCGAAATCTGACATTCATTTGCTGTAGACATTGCGCACCATCGAGAAAGGTCTTGTAGACATTTCCGAAGACGACAGTACACAACAGTACACAGTACACGATGAAGCTGAGAGCAAGAAGCTTCTTTTAGAAGAGAATCTTTTCGACAATAAAACGTCAACTTATTACCTAAGTGATGAAGAAGACATGGGCAAAGATGAACCATTTACGTTGGTTGCGTATAAGAAGAAACGAGCAGAGGGCATCCCAGTCGTCTTTCGTCCAACAGCCGAAGGTGCTAATTTCTGGAAAGTGAACCCCAATCGAGTGTCAGCCGAAGCAGTTTCCGCTGCTTAAGAAAAAGTGCAGTCATTCAGAACGACCAGAGATGGAGGTTTCAGTGTCAGCGTTGCTTCCTTAGCTTCAGCCAAGCATCTTCTGATGTTTTCGAATGTGGGCGGCCTGGAAGTTAAGCCTTTCATCCCCGAGTCATACACTCGGAAAGTTTGGGAAACTAAAGCATGTTCTTCTGCAGTATTCAGACGAACAACTCCTAGGGACTTGAGAGATGCAGGGGTTATATCGCGGTGACAAATGAAATATTACCGCCAGAAAGATGGAGCAGCAACGTCGCGTTCACTTCACTCAGTTATTCTGACTTTTCGAGATGACCGCCTGATTCCACGAAGAATCTACTTAGGTTTCACCAGTCATCCAGTGAAAGAATATCTTGGTCCAGCACTTTGGTGCTATAACTGCCAGCGATTCGGGCACATGGCGAAAAGTTACTGTAACACACGTCGGTGTAAGATCTGCTCAGAAGAACACCAGCATGAGGAGTGCATGTCAGTTCTTCAGCCTAAGTTTGCAAAAATGTGCAGGTAATCACGCTGCCTCATTATCAGGCTGCCCGCAAAGTAAAGGTGCTGCAAAAATGCGTTGGTATGAGCTTATCCATAGGAAGAAAACCGCGCCCCAATGAATCCCCTCCAAACCTTGAGATTGTTCATCCTGTACGTGATCTACCTCAGCGCACACCGCCACAACAGCAGACAAACACGCCAAGAGAATCGCCAAGAGAACCGCCAAGAGCACACCCGAGAGACCACTCACGAGAAGTACATTCAAGTAACCCAACCTACACGTCAAAGCTGCGAACGCCCACGCGACCTCGGGCGGAAAGTCGCAAAAGCGACAGTGCCAGTGTTCGCCCCAGCTACAACATCGAAACGTCACGTCGTTCTCAACAGGCCTCAGAAACCGAACTACTCAATGGGGACCGTGCCTCTACATCAGTCATGCAATTGATTCTACCAATGCTTTTCATAACACTTAAGGCAATCCTGTCTGCTCTACCAGAAGCGAACAACCTGCCAGAAGTAAGAGCCCTGCTGCCTCTGGAAGCACTATTGTGTCAACAATCCGGGTCAAACCTGCGACAAGCAACATATGAATAAGCGCTATAAAAATGCCTCCATAATCCAGTGGAATGCCAGTAGTCTTCGAAGAAAGTGTGCTGACTTCCGTAAACGTTTTTTGCAATATAACTTTCCAATACTTCGCATCGAAGAGGCGGGATTGAATGATGATTTCCGCCTCTCTAACTACATGATATACAAGTCATCTCGTCGTAGTGGTCTAGCAGAGTGCATTTGTGCGTCAGAAAGGACGTACCTTTCCACCAAGTTTACTCAAGTGATTTGAACTTCTCGAAACTCGTCGCTTGAAAGGTATCCTTTGATGAGAAGTGCATAACAGTGATCGATTTTTACCTACAACCTCCAAGCCGAATTTCGATGGAAAAGCTAATAAATATCTTTAATATTTCAAACTCATATACATTTATATGTGGAGACTATAATCCGCACAACATAATATGGGGTAGTCATCGATGTGATGCACGTGAGAACGTTGTTGAGTGTGCCACAGACAAGTGCAATTGGACAATTTCAAATGACGACTCCTTAAGTTTTCTCCGTGGGCATAATTACTCAAGTTGCATCGATGTAACCATGTGTTCTCGAGACCTAGTGAATGTTGTGAGACAGACAACGGATGTAGAAACACGTGGAAGTGACCACTTTTCTATTCTTCTGAATCACCCCTACTTGCAAAATGACGACATCAGGCGCTACAGCAAGCTGATCAACTGGAAAGCTTTTCGGTACCGCCTAACAAACCAAAATAGTGACCTCACGACAGTTGAAAGCTTTACTTAGTTTTTGCAAGATAATGCGAATGAAAGTACAAAGAAAGTCCCGATTCCAAAAGACTATGCTGCAGTCGACGGAGAGTATGAACATCTAAGAGCCATCAGACGACGTTCAGACAGGGCGTATTGAGGCAGCGGAAGCTTAGAAACCTACAAAGATGCACAGAAAATCCACAGTGTAACGCGCAGACGGCAAGAAAGCTTATGTAATTGACGCTGGCGTGATTTCTGTGGCACACTCTCTCCCCACACACCTGTTCCAAGAATTTGACTTGTGATTCGAACATTTAGTGGCCCTGTATCACAGAGCTTCCCATTTCGTGGTCTTGCTGTAGCCTTGGAGAAACGGGTAGTTGTGGTAGCTAATGAACTTTATCAACTTATCA